GTTATGGCCCAGATTCCAAATAGTTTGATATGATTCACAAAGACGTCTGCACTTTTAATTATATACAACTGTTCAAGAACTAAATCCGTCGCTTTGCCAGTGTGATAATCAGAAGTGATCCAATTCTGACTGCTAACTATTAGTGTTGTGCACGAAAACTCAGGTGAGGACATCGACGCCAATATGTAGTGCCTCCACATATATTTCAGTTCTCTCACATCTAACTTGGTTAAGCCCTTTCGATTAATTTATTTAACCAAGCCATTTGTATAGCAACAACTCATATGTACCATTGGTATTTTTTATTATCTGCTTTGTATGAGCTTATACGACTGAGCATTGCTTACGCTTACGCACTTACTCATCCTTTTCGTTTTAATGTTAATCTCGTAATATTCCCATGAACTCACATGATTTGTATCGCTTGCTTTTGACCTTGTCAATCATTCGTCGCTTTTATTCATGTGTGTGCATACCTATTTCGCTTGTCATATGTCTATCTTATTCTTATCTGACTATATATTCTTAGTCATGTTATATCTCTTTGAGTTGGCTCACTAGCCTTCTCCAATTCGCTTCGTCCACTCGCTTGCATTGTAATCCAAAGAGTTGGCTCTTAGCCTTCTCCAATTTGCTTCTCTGCTATCCTTATTGTGGTGTGCTACAATAAACGTATACGATACTTGGAGTTCATCTTCTGATTTATAAACCGAGCTTAAGAACACGCAGTAAATCGGCACACTACAAATATTTAAGCGAATATTGCAGAAATGTTAGGCATATGTACAAAACCTTCCCGTGAATCATCCATCATTTGCAAACTAATCCTTATTTGTTTCAGATTTCAGTGTTCTTTCATTTAGACTGTTCAGACTTTAGTTCAGTTTACGTTTCCCGACAAATCGCCTTCTGTTCTGATTCATTGCTTCTCAATCTTATGCTGTCAGACGTTTGATTTCCGTTTGATATCATAAACTACTTATGTGAACATAAGTAGCGTACACCACAGTAGTACCTAGCAGTCACACATGAACTACTACTAAAATGAGACATAACTCTGTGAGTATAGTCGAAAGCAATCTATATAGCACTCAAATCAGCGAAACAACGTACAATGAAAATATCGATTAATATAAATACCAAATTACATCAGTAATGTTTACAAGCAGTTCCATGATTGGACTAAAGCTAGTCAACAGAATTGAACTAATATAGATTCAGCTGTCCTTTGACTGCTTTTGACATGTGAAGATGTGAATTTGACATTTCTGAGCAAACCTACATTAGTTTGCATATATTATGAAGAGAATTAAACTTAGAAATTGACACCATTGACGATGGGACGGACGACTTATTGAAGTGAAAAAATATATGTTGGAAATAGACTGCTACAAGAATGAAACCAGATGAATGAATACCTACCTACTTAAAAACAATATTGTTCACATATGTAATCACTGATCAATATTGGTAGATAAATTCTCTTTCCTCCTTAAAATACATTCATTGTATGTAGCATGTTTTCAAGCCTAACTGATTTTCAATTTATTAACTTTGTGTAACATTGGAAAAATTATGTTCATTAGTTAACTATATAATGATACAACTTCCCTAATTTTTTTTCACAAAGTTTTAAAATTACAACTGTAATTTCATTTTATCTTTCATGCCTTTTTTTCACAATCAGTTAAACATAGCTCATATATAACACTATGAGAATTAATTCCATTTTTTTCATTCTTGCTTTTATCGTATACATAAATCTTAAGTATAATACTGAAAAGACTGAGGCAGGCGAGGAAGATTGTATTGTGCAAATTTACATTCTGAGTTAGTTGAAAACGAAAACATTACATTGAACACTCTATTTGCACACCATCTTTGAGTTGTGACTTCCAATACTCCATCCTTCTTCCATTCCTGTTGTTGCTTCCTTTACTTCCTGTTGATACTCCATTTACTTCTTGCTTTTGTTCCATTTGCTTTCCGTTTTCCTCTTCTGACCGTGAGACTTCTTTCAGGTTCCTTCTTATACTACTTATATCGTTCATATAAGTAGCACACACCACAATACTACCATACAGATTTTAGTACATACATTCTATTTCACATAGAGTGTGTACATTGTTCATGAATGTATTTTATGATAAGAGTAACATTATTCTTATTACCAGCGAAAATGCTGCAAAGTAAAGAAAACAGTTTGAATTGACATTCAAACTATGGTCAAGTAGTTATTTAAAATACTGAATAAGGGAGGATATATCTTTGCGATTTTGTAAACTTCATCAACAATAGATTACAAGTCGACAAACATAACTGTGTTATCAGTCAGTTAGCAGCAACATAGAACATCGTACGTACTTATATCAGTTCAAGTTGCCATACTAGATTAGCACAGAGATCAAATTGTCTCAATTCAAATCCCATAGTGGTAGATATAGTAGCAGTATTAGTGTTAATGAAGAAGATTGTGGTTAGAAGATATTATTCAAGAAGTAGAATCTAGTAAAATAAACTTGTAAAGCGAAAGATAACGGTGATGAGGAATTCAGAAGACTATAATTTGAGCGAAGACAAGGAATGGATGCATCTGCACCTATGCAAATGATTTCTAGCCATGTCATTCAAGGTCTCTAAGCACCGGTTACTATTGTCTCGCGGACCCCAATTAGGTAGTCTAGAATTATTTACGTGTCTCAGTCCACTTGTTTGGGATTTCATGGATTTCTGCCATGTTTTAGTCTGGCCGCACCTAGCTTCCCTCCGAAATATGGAACAAATCCATGAAGTTAAATGTTATGTCGGAGTACTAAACAGATCATTAATCATCTCTCACCTTAGAATGTCTGACAAATCAACAAAATCGATAGTAATATGATTTTCCTTTACATTAGAATGGAATTGAGAGAGTGATTTTGTTGTTGACCATTTTAAAATGTCATAGAATCAATTATAGTTACGAATAAATAGCTTCCACCCTATGAAGAATGATTTAAAAAAGAAATTAGCAGTGAGTAATTATTCTACAATGTATTCATGCATAAGTGTCTCAAGTTTTTCATAGTCTATTAACTACTGTATTTATAGACTATGAAAAACTTGAAACACTTATGAATGAGTGCATTGTAGAATAATTAATCATTGCATATTTCTTTTAAATTATTCTTCATAAAGTCGAAGCTATTAACGATCATATGCCTGACCGCAGCAGCTACCTTGACGTGGCCGTGGGGGTTGGCTGTCATGATGACCTTTTAGTACCTACCATACCAGGCAAGTTTCAGCTTTTCGATCTCATAATTAACTGAGGTAAGACACATCTGTGGACTCGGTAATTTCGTTATTGGTTTAGCTATATGAGCTTTACATTTGTTGGTTTAAGGTCATGCTCAACACGTTCACCTTGTAAAAATCCTCTGCTTGGTATCTGATGATCAGATTGGATACTACACAGTGAAGACCGAATAATTATTGAAGTATAAAGAACAAATGGTAAGATGCTACAAGGTCAACTGCAGGAAGGTAAGACTAAAAGCAGCTACTCAAGGTCTGAGGGTGAAGTCGGACTGCTGACTGCAGAGAGATGTGAC